CGCTGTGTTTTGTTATGTTGTTATGATTGTGGCCACCAATAATGAATCTTGGTAGAACTTGCAATTCTCTCAGAATTGCTTCACTGAATAATTTTGAATAAATCCAGTGAGAAGATAAGTTTTTGTCTTTCACTTAAAGTCGAAGTACCAAGGAAGAAATTACATTAGAACCATTACCACGAAAATATTTTTAAAAGACAAAGAAACGACATGGCTGCCGTGGGAAAATAACTGATGGCGAGAATCTAATTAAACGTTTCATAAATTTATTTAAATATAATTAAAATATGGCTCACATACGACAATGTTTAATAAACAATGACCTGGATTGACAAAAATTTTCAGATCTCTGGGTGAATGTTAAGGTTGTATGTGTAGTGGAATCGTAGGGCCTATTATTCCTTTAGAATTCTTAAAAACATAGAAAGCTAAATTCAAAATTATATGTCCGGCAGCGTCAAAGTGTCCATGTCAATTTTGTCGAACAGTAACCTGCGCTCCTCAATAGGAAAATATTGTTCCTTTCTATAGCAACGCGAAGACGCATAAAGCAATAGCACGGGAAAAATATATACGGTTGGTTTGTTCGATCTCAAGTCGTTATATTCACCTGATCCTGCACCAAACGATTATTCCATTATTAGATCGCTGCAAAATGATTTGATAGGCAAGAAGGAAAGCCAGATTCAAGAGTACGTCGAAAATCTGTTCACATCAAAACTTTTTGAATTTTATTCAAACGTTATCAAAAAGTGGCAAGAAGTCATTGCGAATAATGAATGAAATATAATTCTATTTTATTGTTTGAAGGAATATGGTTGATAAACAAAACTCAACCTAATAAAAATCTGCTATACGGTAGTTATTTATGTTATTTAAAAGTCAAAGCGTAATCTGACAAAAGGCCACACGATTAGTGTACACTGTCAAGATCTTAGCCACTCGTAAGATCCATCAAATCTAATAAGCTGATCATTTCTATATATAGAGTCAATGTTTTTTGCTAATCAGGCTAAAGGCTTTAATAATGGGCTACTTATTCTTCTGTGGGCTGTGACCATTCAGGCCGTTTGCGATTATGGCGCTTCTCAATTTTCTGTCCTTTGGAGTTATTAATAAATTTTACCTTTTTACCATCTCTTCTAAACATTGTTCTGCCATCCGTTTACTCAAGCTACCTATTAAGTTATGTGTTGTCTTCCTCGATGACACTTGCCTGTGAGTATCAAATTTTTCAAGCCCTCTTTCCAAATTATGTGCCCTACAAATTTCAAATGTCTCTTCCTGATGTCACGTATAAATGGCCCTTTTGCTTCCATTTTCTCTAAAACTTCGTTGTTGCTCACATGTTCGGTCAATGGTATTCTCAGTATCCTTCTGTTGCTGTAAATCTATTCTTTATCTTTTAGGAGATTGTCCAGCATTAAGAGTTCTTGTAGCTTCCTTTCTGATTCTACTACCCACACTGTGTTATGTTATGTTGTTAAGCTTGTGGCCAGCAATAATGAATCTTGGTAGAACTTGTAATTCTCTCAGAATTGCTTCACTGAATAAATTTTGAATAAATCCAGTGAGAAGATAAGTTTTTGTCTTTCACCCTTTTCTATTTTTGTATATTTACCGAATTTCTTTTCTATCCTGATGCAGGCGGTTTGCTGCTAATATAAGTTCTGGAATATTTTAATACCCTTCCTAAATATGTCATGGTTAGTGAACATTAAAAACACAAGTGATGTCTTGAAAAACCAGAAATCTAAACTTAGATTTATACCATTTTTCTAAGCAAGTTTATTCTTTGAGTTTATGATACAACTTTACTTTATATCTTCAGAACCATGCCTGCCACCACATCTGCCTGTTTATTGTGTGTATCCACCTTGTAGATACACGAATACCCCTATTTGCAAGTGAGTAAATATTTGCATATAGCCATTTTCATAAGGCTAAACATTTGAATGTAAATAAACAAATGCATTTACGTAAATATGAATGTATCTTCTCATATTTTTTTAAATCGAGTTTCTTACAGAATAGATAAGACTTGGGTTATATTTACAATAATCTAACATCTTTGCCAAAATAAAGTTCGCAGAAGGAAAATTTTTGAAAGAAATTTTCAGCAGATGAATCAAATTAGTCTATGTGTAATCATGCCTCATTTACCTGTGTCCAACCACTTTCCGTCTGTCTATGTCTAATCATTATCACTCGTCGAGTTGTGATCGATATCTCTCTGACTGTCTACATGGGATCATTATGAATGTGTCTGTCTATGGTTAATCATGACTAGTGTGCCAGTCTATGTCTAACCATTTCTGGATGCCTATGTCCAAGGACTTTACGACTGACAGTCTATGTCCAACCACTTTGTGGCTGCCTTTGCAGTGGCTTGCCTATGTCCAGCTACTTACTTGTTGCTAGTCTATGTCCAACCACTTTGCGGCTGGTTGCCTATGTTATACCACTCTCCGACTGTCTGTCTATGTCCTAACATTTTGCGGACGCCTGTCTATGTCCAACCACTTTTCGGCTGCCAGCCTATATCCAACCACTTTCCGACTATCTCTCTATGCCCAACCATTTTTTATATCTACCCACTTCCTGGGTCCTTTTCTATGTCCAACCAATTCGCGACTGACTCCAAACACTTTCAGGCTACATGTCTATGTCCAAATATTTTACGGCTGCTTCTCTAATTCCTACAACCTTCTGGCTGCTTGTTTATGTTCAAGCAATTTGAAATTTCCTGTCTATGACCAACCAATCTGCTGCTGCCAACAACTTTCTGGCGACCTGTTTATGTTCAAAAACTTTGCGTCTGATTGTCTAAGTCTATTTTCTTGCAGCTTGTCTATGTTCAACCACTTTTCGGCTGACTGTCTATATCCTACCACTTATTGGCTATCTGGTTATGTCCAATCAGTTTGCATCTGCCTGTGGCCACCCATTTTTTGAATATCTGTCTAACCATTTACCATCTGCTACTTTGAGACTGCCTGTCTATGTCCAAACACTTTCCGACTGCCTGTCTTTGTCCAGCAACATTCCGGCTGCTTGTATACGTCTAAGAAATATTCGGCTGTCTGTCACTTTCTAACCAAACATTTTCCGGTTATCAGTCTATACCCAAACATTTTCCGGCTGATTCTGTCCATCTTATTTTGGTTGCTTGTCTAACCAAACATTTTCCGGTTATCAGTCTATACCCAAACATTTTCCGGCTGATTGTGTCCATCCTTATTTTGGTTGCTTGTCTATGTCCAAACACTTTCGGGCTATCAGTCTATACCCAAACATTTTCCGGCTGATTGTCTGTGTCCATCCTTATTTTGGTTGCTTGTCTATGTCCAAACACTTTCCGGCTATCAGTCTATACCCAAACATTTTCCGGCTGATTGTCTGTGTCCATCCTTATTTTGGTTGCTTGTCTATGTCCAAACACTTTCCGGCTATCAGTCTATACCCAAACATTTTCCGGCTGATTGTCTGTGTCGGCTATATTTTGTGATTCCTATGTATTTTCAGTCTATACCCAAACATTTTGCTGATTGTTGTCTATGTCTATGTCAAACACTTTCCGGCTATCAGTCTATACCCAAACATTTTCCGGCTGATTGTCTGTGTCCATCCTTATTTTGGTTGCTTGTCTATGTCCAAACACTTTCCGGCTATCAGTCTATACCCAAACATTTTCCGGCTGATTGTCTGTGTCCATCCTTATTTTGGTTGCTTGTCTATGTCCAAACACTTTCCGGCTATCAGTCTATACCCAAACATTTTTCCGGCTGATTGTCTGTGTCCATCCTTATTTTTTGGTATGCTCCGGCTATGTCTATACCCAAACATTTTCCGGCTGATTGTCTATACCCAAACTTATTTTCCGGTTGATTGTCTATGTTTCCATCAGTCTATACCCAAACATTTTTTGGTTGCTTGTCCATCTATTTTGGTTGCTTGTCTATGTCCAAACACTTTCCGGCTATCAGTCTATACCCAAACATTTTCCGACTGATTCTGTGTCCATCCTTATTTTGGTTCTTGTCTATCCACTTTCCCTTAGTCTATACCCAAACATTTTTGGCTGATTGTCTTGTCCATCTATTTTGGTTGCTTGTCCAAACACTTTCCGGCTATCAGTCTATCCATCCCAAACATTTTCCGGCTTTCAGCTGATTTTCTGTGTCCATCCTTATTTTGGTTTGCTTGTCTATGTCCAAACACTTTCCGGCTATCAGTCTATACCCAAACATTTTCCGGCTGATTGTCTGTGTCCATCCTTATTTTGGTTGCTTGTCTGTCCAAACATGTCCAAACAAACTTTCCTGATTATCTGTGTCCTATACCTAAACACTTTTTTCAGTCGGCAAACATTTTGCTGATTGCCTGTGTCCATCCTTATTTTGGTTGCTTGTCTATGTCCAAACACTTTCCGGCTATCAGTCTATACCCAAACATTTTCCGGCTGATTGTCTGTGTCCATCCTTATTTTGGTTGCTTGTCTATGTCCAAACACTTTCCGGCTATCAGTCTATACCCAAACATTTTCTGGCTGATTGTCTGTGTCCATCCTTATTTTGGTTGATTGTCTATGTCCAAACACTTTCCTGGCTATCAGTCTATACCCAAACATTTTCCGGCTGATTGTCTGTGTCCATCCTTATTTTGGTTGCTTGTCTATGTCCAAACACTTTCCGTTGATCAATTTTTATTTTGGCTATCAGTCTATACCCAAACATTTTCTGATTGGCTTATTTTGATTACTTGTCTATGTCCATCTATCAGTCTATATTTTGATTGTCTTGTCCATCCTTATTTTGGTTTGTCTATGTCCAAACACTTTCCGGCTATCAGTCTATACCCAAACATTTTCCGGCTGATTGTCTGTGTCCATCCTTATTTTGATTTTGCTTGTGTATGTCCAAACACTTTTCCGGCTATGTCTATACCCAAACATTTTCCGGCTGATTGCCTGTGTCCATCCTTATTTTGGTTACTTGTCTATGTCCAAACACTTTCCGGCTATCAGTCTATACCCAAACATTTTCCGGCTGATTATCTGTGTCCATCCTTATTTTGGTTACTTGTCTATGTCCAAACACTTTCCGGCTATCAGTCTATACCCAAACATTTTCCGGCTGATTATCTGTGTCCATCCTTATTTTGGTTGCTTGTGTATGTCCAAACACTTTCCGGCTATCAGTCTATACCCAAACATTTTCCGGCTGATTGCCTGTGTCCATCCTTATTTTGGTTACTTGTCTATGTCCAAACACTTTCCGGCTATCAGTCTATGTCCCAAACATTTTCCGGCTGATTGTCTGTGTCCATCCTTATTTTGGTTACTTGTCTATGTCCAAACACTTTCCGGCTATCAGTCTATACCCAAACATTTTCCGGCTGATTGTCTGTGTCCATCCTTATTTTTTCCGGCTGATTGCTTGTCTATGTCCAAACACTTTCCTATACCCAAACATTTTATCAGTCTATGTCCCAAACATTTTCCGGCTGATTAACATTTTCTGTGTCCATCCTTATTTTGATTTGCTTGTCTATGTCCAAACACTTTCCGGCTATCAGTCTATACCCAAACATTTTCCGGCTGATTTGTGTCCATCCTGTGTCCAAACATCTGGCTATCAGTCTATTTTCCGGCTGATTATCTTGTCCATCCTTATTTTGGTTACTTGTCTATGTCCAAACACTTTCCGGCTATCAGTCTATACCCAAACATTTTCCGGCTGATTGTCTGTGTCCATCCTTATTTTGGTTACTTGTCCATCCTGTCCAAACACTTTCCGGCTATCAGTCTATACCCAAACATTTTCCGGCTGATTGCCTGTGTCCATCCTTATTTTGGTTACTTGTCTATGTCCAAACACTTTCCGGCTATCAGTCTATACCCAAACATTTTCCGGCTGATTGTCTGTGTCCATCCTTATTTTGGTTGCTTGTCTATGTCCAAACACTTTCCGGCTATCAGTCTATACCCAAACATTTTCCGGCTGATTGCCTGTGTCCATCCTTATTTTGGTTACTTGTCTATGTCCAAACACTTTCCGGCTATCAGTCTATACCCAAACATTTTCCGGCTGATTATCTGTGTCCATCCTTATTTTGGTTACTTGTCTATGTCCAAACACTTTCCGGCTATCAGTCTATACCCAAACATTTTCCGGCTGATTGTCTGTGTCCATCCTTATTTTGGTTACTTGTCTATGTCCAAACACTTTCCGGCTATCAGTCTATACCCAAACATTCCGGCTGATTGCCTGTGTCCATCCTTATTTTGGTTACTTGTCTATGTCCAAACACTTTCCGGCTATCAGTCTATACCCAAACATTTTCCGGCTGATTGCCTGTGTCCATCCTTATTTTGGTTGTTTGTCTATGTCCAAACACTTTCCGGCTATCAGTCTATACCCAAACATTTTTCCGGCTGATTCCTGTGTCCATCCTTATTTTTGTTTACTTGTCTATGTCCAAACACTTTCCGGCTATACCCAAACATTTTCCGGCTGATTGCCTGTGTCCATCCTTATTTTGGTTGCTTGTCTATGTCCAAACACTTTCCGGCTATCAGTCTATACCCAAACATTTTCCGGCTGATTGTCTGTGTCCATCCTTATTTTGGTTACTTGTCTATGTCCAAACACTTTCCGGCTATCAGTCTATACCCAAACATTTTCCGGCTGATTGCCTGTGTCCATCCTTATTTTGGTTACTTGTCTATGTCCAAACACTTTCCGGCTATCAGTCTATACCCAAACATTTTCCGGCTGATTGTCTGTGTCCATCCTTATTTTGGTTACTTGTCTATGTCCAAACACATTTTTCCGGCTGTCCAGTCTATACCCAAACATTTTCCGGCTATCAGTCTATACCCAAACATTTTCAGCTTTGATTGTCTTATCCCATCCTTATTTTCCGGCTGATTGTCTGTGTCCATCCTTGTCTATGTCCAAACACTTTCCGGCTATCAGTCTATACCCAAACATTTTCCGGCTGATTGCCTGTGTCCATCCTTATTTTGGTTGCTTGTCTATGTCAAACACTTTCCGGCTATCAGTCTATACCCAAACATTTTCCGGCTGATTGTCTGTGTCCATCCTTATTTTGGTTTTGCTTGTCTATGTCCAAACACTTTCCGGCTATCAGTCTATACCCAAACATTTTCCGGCTGATTGCCTGTGTCCATCCTTATTTTGGTTACTTGTCTATGTCCAAACACTTTCCGGCTATCAGTCTATACCCAAACATTTTCCGGCTGATTATCTGTGTCCATCCTTATTTTGGTTGCTTGTGTATGTCCAAACACTTTCCGGCTATCAGTCTATACCCAAACATTTTCCGGCTGATTATCTGTGTCCATCCTTATTTTGGTTACTTGTCTATGTCCAAACACTTTCCGGCTATCAGTCTATACCCAAACATTTTCCGGCTGATTATCTGTGTCCATCCTTATTTTGCTGTTTGCTTGTCTATGTCCAAACACTTTCCGGCTATCAGTCTATACCCAAACATTTTCCGGCTGATTATCTGTGTCCATCCTTATTTTGGTTACTTGTCTATGTCCAAACACTTTCCGGCTATCAGTCTATACCCAAACATTTCCGGCTGATTATCTGTGTCCATCCTTATTTTAGTTGCTTGTTGTATGTCCAAACACTTTCCGGCTATCAGTCTATACCCAAACATTTTCCGGCTGATTGTCTGTGTCCATCCTTATTTTGGTTGCTTGTCTATGTCCAAACACTTTCCGGCTATCAGTCTATACCCAAACATTTTCCGGCTGATTGTCTGTGTCCATCCTTATTTTGGTTTTGCATATGTCCAAACACTTTCCGGCTATCAGTCTATACCCAAACATTTTCCGGCTGATTGTCTGTGTCCATCCTTATTTTGGTTGCTTGTCTATGTCCAAACACTTTCCGGTTTTTCAGTCTATACCAAACATTTTCCGGCTGAAACATGCTTTGATTGTCTATACCCAAAAACATTTTCCGGCTGATTGTCTGTGTCCATCCTTATTTTGGTTGCTTGTCTATGTCCAAACACTTTCCGGCTTTCAGTCTATACCCAAACATTTTCCGGCTGATTGTCTGTGTCCATCCTTATTTTGGTTACTTGTCTATGTCTTTCCGGCTATCAGTCTATACCCAAACATTTTCCGGCTGATTATCTGTGTCCATCCTTATTTTGGTTCTTGTGTATGTCCAAACATTTTCCGGCTATCAGTCTATACCCAAACATTTTCCGGCTGATCTGTGTCCATCCTTATTTTGGTTACTTGTCTATGTCCAAACACTTTCCGGCTATCAGTCTATACCCAAACATTTTCCGGCTGATTATCTGTGTCCATCCTTATTTTGCTGATTGTCTTGTCCATCCTTATTTTGGTTTTTGTGTCCAAACACTTTCCGGCTATCAGTCTATACCCAAACATTTTCCGGCTGATTGTCTGTGTCCATCCTTATTTTGGTTACTTGTCTATGTCCAAACACTTTCCGGCTATCAGTCTATACCCAAACATTTTCCGGCTGATTGTCTGTGTCCATCCTTATTTTGGTTGCTTGTGTATGTCCAAACCCTTTCCGGCTTTCAGTCTATACCCAAACATTTTCCGGCTGATTGTCTGTGTCCATCCTTATTTTGGTTGTCCATCCTTGTCTATGTCCAAACACTTTCCGGCTATCAGTCTATACCCAAACATTTTCCGGCTGATTGTCTGTGTCCATCCTTATTTTGGTTACTTGTCTTGTCTATGTCCAAACATTTTCCGGCTGATTGTCTGTCCATCAGTCTATACCTTTCAAACATTTTCCGGCTGATTGTCTGTGTCCATCCTTATTTTGTTGCTTGTCTATGTCCAAACACTTTCCGGCTATCAGTCTATACCCAAACATTTTCCGGCTGATTGCCTGTGTCCATCCTTATTTTGGTTACTTGTCTATGTCCAAACACTTTCCGGCTATCAGTCTATACCCAAACATTTTTCGGCTGATTATCTGTGTCCATCCTTATTTTGGATTGTCTATGTCCAAACACTTTGCTATCAGTCTATATCCAAACATTTTCCGGTTGATTATCTGTGTCCATCCTTATTTTGGCTGCTTGTCTATGTCCAAACACTTTCCGGCTATCAGTCTATACCCAAACATTTTTTTTGGTCCATCCTTATTTTGGACTTGTCTATGTCCAAACACTTTCCTATCAGTCTATACCCATTTTCCGGCTGATTATCTGTGTCCATCCTTATTTTGGTTCTTGTCTATGTCCAAACACTTTCCGGCTATCAGTCTATACCCAAACATTTTCCGGCTGATTGTCTGTGTCCATCCTTATTTTGGTTACTTGTCTATGTCCAAACACTTTCCGGCTATCAGTCTATACCCAAACATTTTCCGGCTGATTGTCCTGTCCATCCTTATTTTGGTTATTTTGTCTATGCTTGTCTATGTCCAAACATTTTCCGGCTATCAGTCTATACCCAAACATTTTCCTGATTGTCTGTGTCCATCCTTATTTTGGTTGCTTGTCTATGTCCAAACACTTTCCGGCTATCAGTCTATACCCAAACATTTTCCGGCTGATTGTCTGTCCATCCTTATTTTTGTTTACTTGTCTATGTCCAAACACTTTCCGGCTATCAGTCTATACCCAAACATTTTCCGGCTGATTGTCTGTGTCCATCCTTATTTTGGTTGCTTGTCTATGTCCAAACACTTTCCGGCTATCAGTCTATACCCAAACATTTTCCGGCTGATTGTCTGTGTCCATCCTTATTTTGGTTGCTTGTCTATGTCCAAACACTTTCCGGCTATCAGTCTATACCCAAACATTTTCCGGCTGATTGTCTGTGTCCATCCTTATTTTGGTTGCTTGTCTATGTCCAAACACTTTCCTAAAGTCTATACCCAAACATTTTCCGGCTGATTGTCTGTGTCCATCCTTAGTTTGCTTGTCTATGTCCAAACACTTTCCGGCTATCAGTCTATGTCAAACATCCTGATTTCTGTGTCCATCCTTATTTTTTACTTGTCTATGTCCAAACACATTTTCCGGCTATCAGTCTATACCCAAACATTTTCCGGCTGATTGTCTGTGTCCATCCTTATTTTGGTTGCTTGTCTATGTCCAAACACTTTCCGGCTATCAGTCTATACCCAAACATTTTCCGGCTGATTGCCTGTGTCCATCCTTATTTTGGTTACTTGTCTATGTCCAAACACTTTTCCGGCTATCAGTCTATACCCAAACATTTTCCGGCTGATTGTCTGTGTCCATCCTTATTTTGGTTGCCTTGTCTATTGCTATCAGTCTATACCCAAACATTTTTTCCGGCTGATGTCCATCCTTATTTTCCTAAACACTTTCCGGCTATCAGTCTATACCCAAACATTTTCCGGCTGATTATCTGTGTCCATCCTTATTTTGGTTGCTTGTCTATGTCCAAACACTTTCCGGCTATCAGTCTATACCCAAACATTTTCCGGCTGATTGTCTGTGTCCTTATTTTGGTTCCTCTATTGTCCAAACACTTTCCGTTGCTTCAGTCTATACCCAAACATTTTCCGGCTGATTATCTTGTCCATCCTATGTCTTGTCTATGTCAAACACTTTCCGGCTGATCAGTCTATACCCAAACATTTTCCGGCTGATTGTCTATGTCCAAACACTTTCCGGCTATGTCCATCCTGATTTCTGTGTCCATCCTTGCTTGTCTATGTCCAAACACTTTCCGGCTATCAGTCTATACCCAAACATTTTCCGGCTGATTATCTGTGTCCATCCTTATTTTGGTTACTTGTCTATGTCCAAACACTTCTTTCCGGCTATCAGTCTATACCCAAACATTTTCCGGCTGATTGTCTGTGTCCATCCTTATTTTGGTTACTTGTCTATGTCCAAACACTTTCCGGCTATCAGTCTATACCCAAACATTTTCCGGCTGATTATCTGTGTCCATCCTTATTTTGGTTACTTGTCTATGTCCAAACACTTTCCGGCTATCAGTCTATACCCAAACATTTTCCGGCTGATTGTCTGTGTCCATCCTTACTTGTCTATGTCCAAACACTTTCCGGCTATCAGTCTATACCCAAACATTTTCCGGCTGATTATCTGTGTCCATCCTTATTTTGGTTGCTTGTCTATGTCCAAACACTTTCCGGTTTCAGTCTATACCCAAACATTTTCAGCTGTCTGTGTCCATCCTATTTTGGTTACTTGTCTATGTCAAACATTTCTATCCGGCTGATTATCTGTGTCCATCCTTATTTTGGTTACTTGTCTATGTCCAAACACTTTCCGGCTATCAGTCTATACCCAAACATTTTCCGGCTGATTATCTGTGTCCATCCTTATTTTGGTTGCTTGTCTATGTCCAAACACTTTCCGGCTATCAGTCTATACCCAAACATTTTCCGGCTGATTATCTGTGTCCATCCTTATTTTGGTTGCTTGTGTATGTCCAAACACTTTCCGGCTATCAGTCTATACCCAAACATTTTCCGGCTGATTGTCTGTGTCCATCCTTATTTTGGTTGCTTGTCTATGTCCAAACACTTTCCGGCTATCAGTCTATACCCAAACATTTTCCGGCTGATTGTCTGTGTCCATCCTTATTTTGGTTGCTTGTCTATGTCCAAACACTTTCCGTTTTTCAGTCTATACCCAAACATTTTCCGGCTGATTGTCTGTGTCCATCCTATTTTTTTGTCTGTGTCAATCCACTTTCCGGCTTCAGTCTATACCCAAACATTTTCGGCTTTTGCCTGTTCATCCTTATTTTGGTTACCATGTCAAACACTTTCCGGCTATCAGTCTATGTCAAACATTTTCCGGCTGATTTTGTGTCCATCCTTATTTTGGTTACTTTCTATGTCCAAACACTTTCCGGCTTTCAGTCTATACCCAAACATTTTCCGGCTGATTGTCTGTGTCCATCCTTATTTTGGTTGCTTGTCTATGTCCAAACACTTTCCGGCTATCAGTCTATACCCAAACATTTTCCGGCTGATTATCTGTGTCCATCCTTATTTTGGTTGCTTGTCTATGTCAAACACTTTCGGCTATCAGTCTATACCCCAAACATTTCCGCTGATTATCTGTGTCCATCCTTATTTTGGTTGCTTGTCTATGTCCAAACACTTTCCGGCTATCAGTCTATACCCAAACATTTTCCGGCTGATTGTCTGTGTCCATCCTTATTTTGGTTGCTTGTCTATGTCCAAACACTTTCCGGCTATCAGTCTATACCCAAACATTTTTCCGGCTGATTGTCTGTGTCCATCCTTATTTTGGTTGCTTGTCTATGTCCAAACACTTTCCGGGCTATCTTGTCTATGTTTTCTACCCAAACATTTTACCCAAACATTTTTCTATCAGTCTATACCCAAACATTTTCCGCTGATTGTCTGTGTCCATCCTTATTTTGGTATGTCCAAACACTTTGTCTATATCCAAACACGGCTGATTCCGTGTCCATCCTTTCAGTCTATGTAATTATCAAACATTTTCCGGCTGATTGTCTGTGTCCATCCTTATTTTGACTGATTTTGTCTATGTCCAAACCCTTTCCGGCTATCAGTCTATACCCAAACATTTTCCGGCTGATTGTCTGTGTCCATCCTTATTTTGGTTGCTTGTCTATGTCCAAACACTTTCCGGCTATCAGTCTATACCCAAACATTTTCCGGCTGATTGATTGTGTCCATCTTAGTCTATGTCCAAACCCTTTCCGGCTATCAAACCCAAATTTTCCGGCTGATTGCCTGTGTCCATCCTTATTTTGGTTACTTGTCTATGTCCAAACACTTTCCGGCTATCAGTCTATACCCAAACATTTTCCGGCTGATTGTCTGTGTCCATCCTTATTTTGGTTGTTGCTTGTCTATGTCCAAACACTTTCCGTTTTTCAGTCTATACCCAAACATTTTCAGCTGATTGTCTGTGTCCATCCTTATTTTGGTTTGTCTATGTCCAAACCCTTTCCGGCTATCAGTCTATACCCAAACATTTTCCGGCTGATTGTCTGTGTCCATCCTTATTTTCATGTCCAAACACTTTCCGGCTTTCAGTCTATACCCAAACATTTTTGATTGACTGTGTCCATCCTTATTTTGGTTGCTTGTCTATGTCCAAACACTTTCCGGCTTTCAGTCTATACCCAAACATTTTCCGGCTAATTACCTGTGTCCATCCTTATTTTGGTTGCTTGTCTATGTCCAAACACTTTCCGGCTATCAGTCTATACCCAAACATTTTCCGGCTGATTGTTTGTGTCCATCCTTATTTTGGTTGCTTGTCTATGTCAAACACATTTTCCGGCTATCAGTCTATGTCCAAACCCAAACATTTTCCGGCTGATTGTCTGTGTCCATCCTTATTTTGGTTGTTTGTATGTCCAAACACTTTCCGGCTATCAGTCTATACCCAAACATTTTCCGGCTGATTGTCTGTGTCCATCCTTATTTTGGTTGCTTGTCTATGTCCAAACACTTTCCGGCTATCAGTCTATACCCAAACATTTTCCGGCTGATTGTCTGTGTCCATCCTTATTTTGGTTACTTGTCTATGTCCAAACACTTTCCCGGCTTTTTCAGTCTATACCCAAACATTTTCCGGCTGATTGTCTGTGTCCATCCTTATTTTGGTTGCTTGTCTATGTCCAAACACTTTCCGGCTTTCAGTCTATACCCAAACATTTTCCGGCTGATTATCTGTGTCCATCCTTATTTTTGGCTGCTTGTGTATGTCCAAACACTTTCCGGCTATCAGTCTATACCCAAACATTTTCCGGCTGATTGTCTGTGTCCATCCTTATTTTGGTTACTTGTATGTCCAAACCCTTTCCGGCTTTCAGTCTATACCCAAACATTTTCCGGCTGATTATCCTTATTTTGGTTTGCTTGTCTATGTCCATCCTTATTTTTGTTTTTGCTTGTCCTATGTCCAAACACTTTCCGGCTATCAGTCTATACCCAAACATTTTTCCTGATTGCCTGTGTCCATCCTTATTTTGTCTGTCTATGTCCAAACATTTTCCGGCTATCCTATATTTTGATTGTCTGTGTCCATCCTTATTTTGGTTGCTTGTCTATGTCCAAACACTTTCCGGCTATCAGTCTATACCCAAACATTTTCCGGCTGATTGTCTGTGTCCATCCTTATTTTGGTTGCTTGTCTATGTCCAAACACTTTCCGGCTTTCAGTCTATACCCAAACATTTTCCGGTTGATTGTCTGTGTCCATCCTTATTTTGTTGCTTGTCTATGTCCAAACACTTTCCGGCTATCAGTCTATACCCAAACATTTTCCGGCTGATTGTCTGTGTCCATCCTTATTTTGGTTACTTGTCTATGTCCAAACACTTTCCGCTATCAGTCTATACCCAAACATTTTTCCGGCTGACATTCTGTTCCATCCGTTGCTTGTCTATGTCCAAACACTTTCTGTGTCCTATACCCAAACATTTTTGATTTCTGTGTCCATCCTTATTTTGTTACTTGTCTATGTCCAAACACTTTCCGGCTATCAGTCTATACCCAAACATTTTCCGGCTGATTGTCTGTGTCCATCCTTATTTTGTTACTTGTCTATGTCCAAACACTGATTGCCTTTCCTTATTTTGGTTGGCTTGTCTATGTCCAAACAGTCTATACCCAAACATTTTCCGGCTGATTATCTGTGTCCCATCCTTATTTTGGTTGCTTGTCTATGTCCAAACACTTTCCGGCTATCAGTCTATACCCAATTGTCTGGGTCCACATGTCCAAACACTTTCGGCTATGTCTATGCCCAAACATTGATTCTGTGTCCATCCTTATTTTGGTTGTCCAAAACCCTTGGCTATCAGTCTATCCAAAACATCTTCCGGCTTTATCAGTCTATACCCAAACATTTTCCGACTGATTGTCTGTGTCCATCCTTATTTTGTTGCTTTGTCTATGTCCAAAACCTTTCCGGCTTTCAGTCCATACCCAAACATTTTCCGGCTGATTGTCTGTGTCCATCCTTATTTTGGTTGCTTGTCTATGTCCAAACACTTTCCGGCTATCAGTCTATACCCAAACATTTTCCGGCTGTTTGCCTGTGTCCATCCTTATTTTATCTGTCTATGTCCATCCTATATTTTGATTGTTGTCCATCCTATTTTGTTATTTGTCTATGTCCAAACACTCTTCCGGCTATCAGTCTATACCCAAACATTTTTCCGGCTGATTGTCTGTGTCCATCCTTATTTTGCTGCTTTGTATGTCCAAACACTCCTTTTTTGGCTCAAATATTTTCCGGCTGGATTGCCTGTGTCCATCCTATTTTGCTTACTTGTCTATGTCCAAACACCTTTCCGGCTATCAGTCTATACCCAAAACATTTTCCGCTGATTATCTGTGTCCATCCTTATTTTGGTTACTTGTCTATGTCCAAACACTTTCCGGCTATCAGTCTATACCCAAACATTTTCCGGCTGATTGTCTGTGTCCATCCTTATTTTGGTTGCCTTTGTATGTCCAAACACTTTCCGGCTATCAGTCTATACCCAAACATTTTCCGGCTGATTATCTGTGTCCATCCTTATTTTGGTTACTTGTCTATGTCCAAACACTTTCCGGCTATCAGTCTATACCCAAACATTTTCCGGCTGATTATCTGTGTCCATCCTTATTTTGGTTACTTCCGGCTATCAGTCCAAACATTTTCCGGCTATCATGTCTATACCCAAACATTTTCCGGCTGATTGTCTGTGTCCATCCTTATTTTGCTTGTTACTTTGTCTATGTCCAAACACTTTTTCCGGCTCATCAGTCTATCCAAACATTTTTCCGGCTGATTATCTGTGCCTGTGTCCATCCTTATTTTGGTTACTTGTCTATGTCCAAACACTTTCCGGCTATCAGTCTATACCCAAACATTTTTCCGGCTGATTGTCTGTGTCCATCCTTATTTTGTGTCCATCCTTATTTTGCTTGTCTATGTCCAAACACTTTCCGGCTATCAGTCTATACCCAAACATTTTCCGGCTGATTGTCTTTGTGTATGTCCCATCCTTATTTTGGTCCATCCTATTTTGCTGTTTGTGTATGTCCAAACACTTTCCGGCTATCAGTCTATATCCAAACATTTTCCGGCTGATTGTCTGTGTCCATCCTTATTTTGGTTGCTTGTCATGTCCAAACACTTTCCGGCTATCAGTCTATACCCAAACATTTTCCGGCTGATTGTCTGTGTCCATCCTTATTTTGTTGCTTTTGTCTATGTCCAAACACTTTCCGGCTTTCAGTCTATACCAAACATTTTCCGGCTGATTGCCTGTGTCCATCCTTATTTTGTTACTTGTCTATGTCCAAACCTTTCCGGCTATCAGTCTATACCCAAACATTTTTCCGGCTGATTGTCTGTGTCCATCCTTATTTTGGTTGCTTGTGTATGTCCAAACACTTTCCGGCTTTCAGTCTATACCCAAACATTTTCCGGCTGATTGCCTGTGTCCATCCTTATTTTGGTTACTTGTCTATGTCCAAACACTTTTCCGGCTATCAGTCTATACCCAAACATTTTCCGGCTGATTGTGTCCATCCTTATTTTGTTACTTGTCTATGTCCGGCCATCCTTGATTATTTGGTTGCTTGTCTATGTCCAAACACTTTCGGCTATCAGTCTATACCCAAACATTTTCCGGCTGATTGTCTGTGTCCATCCTTATTTTGGTTGCTTGTCTATGTCCAAACACTTTCCGGCTATCAGTCTATACCCAAACATTTTCCGGCTGATTGTCTGTGTCCATCCTTATTTTGGTTACTTGTGTATGTCCAAAACACTTTCCGGCTATCAGTCTATACCCAAACATTTTCCGGTTGATTATCTGTGTCCATCCTTATTTTGCTACTTGTCTATGTCCAAACACTTTCCGGCTATCAGTCTATACCCAAACATTTTCCGGCTGATTTCTGTCCATCCTTATTTTTGGTTACTTGTCTATGTCCAAACACTTTCCGGCTATCAGTCTATACCCAAACATTTTCCGGCTGATTATCTGTGTCCATCCTTATTTTGGTTGTTGTCTATGTCCAAACACTTTCCGGCTATCAGTCTATACCCAAACATTTTCCGGCTGATTGTCTGTGTCCCATTGATTATCCTTATTTTGGTTGTCTTGTCTATGTCCAAACACTTTCCGGCTATCAGTCTATACCCAAACATTTTCCGGCTGATTGTCTGGTCCATTTTTATTTGATTGCCTGTCTAAATGTGTCCTATCAAACTTGATTGTCTGTGTCCATCCTTACTTGTCTATGTCCAAACACTTTCCGGCTATCAGTCTATACCAAAACATTTTCCGGCTGATTGTCTGTGTCCATCCTTATTTTTTGTCTATGTCCAAAACACTTTGTCTATGTCCAAACACGGTTGATTGCCGGTCCATCCTTATTTTGGTTACTTGTCTATGTCCAAAACATTTTCTCTATCAGTCTATATCAAACATTCCATTGATTATCTGTGTCCATCCTTATTTTTTTTCTCATGTCCAAACATTTTTCCGGCTATCAGTCTATACCCAAACATTTTCCGGCTGATTGTCTGTGTCCATTGTCTTGTCTATGTCCATCCATTTTCCGGCTGATTTTGTGTCCATCCTTATTTTGGTTGCTTGTCTATGTCCAAATGTCCAAACAAACATTTTCCGGGCTGATTGTCTGTGTTAATCCTTATTTTGGTTGTTTGTGTCCAAACCCTTTCCGTTTTCAGTCTACTCCAAACATTTTCCGGTTGATTGTCTGTGTCCATCCTTATTTTTGTTTGCTTGTCTATGTCAAACACTTTCCGGCTATCAGTCCATACCCAAACATTTCCCATTGATTGCTCTGTGTCCATCCTTATTTTGGTTACTTGTCTATGTCAAACACTTTCCGGCTATCAGTCATACAAACATTTTCGGCTGTTTGCTATGTCCATCCTTATTTGGTTGCTTTTCTGTCCAAACACTTTCCGGCTTTCAGTCTATACCCAAACATTTTCCGGCTGATTGCCTGTGTCCATCTTTATTTTTGGTTACTTGTCATGTCCAAACACATTTCGGCTATCAGTCTATACCCAACATTTTCCGGCTGATTGTCTGTGTCATCCTTATTTTGGTTGCCTTTGTCTATGTCCAAACACTTTCGGCTATCGGTCTAGTCTATACCATTTTCAGCTGATTATCTGTCCATCCATTTTTTTGCTTGTCTATGTCCAAACACTTTCCGGCTATCAGTCTATACCCAAACATTTTTTCCGGCTGATTATCTGTGTCCATCCCTTATTTTGGTTACTTGTCTATGTCAAAACACTTTCCGGCTATCAGTCTATACCAAACATTTTCCGGCTGATTGTCTGTTGTGTCCATCCTTATTTTGGTTGCTTGTCTGATTGCTCAAACACTTTCCGGCTATCAGTCTATACCCAAACATTTTCCGGCTGATTATCTGTGTCCATCCTTATTTTGGTTGCTTGTCTATGTCCAAACACTTTCCGGCTATCAGTCTATACCCAAACATTTTCCGGCTGATTATCTGTGTCCATCCTTATTTTGGTGCTTGTGTATGTCCAAACACTTTCCGGCTATCAGTCTATACCCAAACATTTTCCGGCTGATTATCTGTGTCCATCCTTATTTTGGTTACTTGTCTATGTCCAAACTCCTTCCGGCTATCAGTCTATACCCAAACATTTTCCGGCTGATTATCTGTGTCCATCCTTATTTTGGTTATTAGCCATGTCCAAACACTTTCCACACGTCTATACCCAAACATTTTCCGGTTGATTTTGTCCATGTCCATCCTTATTTTGGTTTTGTCTATGTCCAAACACTTTCCGCTTTCCGGCTGATTGTCTATGTCCATCCATTTTTTCTTGTTCATGCTGATTGTCTGTGCTGATTGTCTTGTCCATTTGGTTGCTTGTCTATGTCCAAACACTTTTCCGTTTTCAGTCTAAACATTTTCCGGCTGATTGTCTGTGTGTCCATCCTTATTTTGGTTACTTGTCTATGTCCAAACACTTTCTGGCTTTCAGTCTATACCCAAACATTTTCCATTTGATTGCCTGTATCCATCCTTATTTTGGTTACTTGTCTATGTCCAAACACTTTCGGCCTATCAGTCTATCCAAACATTTTCCGGCTGATTGTCTGTGTCCATCCTTATTTTGGTTGCTTGTGTATGTCCAAACACTTTCCTGGCTATCAGTCTATACCCAAACATTTTCGGCTGATTGTCTGTGTCCATCCTTATTTTGGTTACTTGTCTATGTCAAACACTTTCCGGCTATCAGTCTATATCCAAACATTTTCCGGCTGATTGTCTGTGTCCATCCTTATTTTTGTTGCTTGTTCATGTCCAAACACTTTCCGGCTATCAGTCTATACCCAAACATTTTCCGGCTGATTGTCTGTGTCCATCCTTATTTTGTTTGCATCTATGTCCAAACACTTTCCGGCTATCAGTCTATACCCAAACATTTTCCGGCTGATTGTCTGTGTCCATCCTTATTTTTGGTTACTTGTCTGTGTCCAAACACTTTCCGTTTTCAGTCTATACCCAAACATTTTCCGCTGATTGTCTGTGTCCATCCTTATTTTGTTGTTTGTCTATGTCCAAACCCTTTACGGTTTTCAGTCTATATCCAAACATTTTCCGGCTGATTGTCTGTGTCCATCCTTATTTTTGCTTGTCTATTTCCAAACACTTTCCGGCTATCAGTCTATGTCCAAACACGTTTCCGGCTATCAGTCTATACCCAAACATTTTTTCCGGCTGTTTGTCTGTGTCCATCCTTATTTTGGTTGCTTTTCTATGTCCAAACCCTTTCCGGCTATCAGTCTATATCAAACATTTTCCGGCTGATTGTCTGTGTCCATCCTTATTTTGCCATTTGGTGTCTATGTCCAAACACATTCCGGCTATCAGTCTATACCCAAAACATTGTCTGTGTCCATCCTTATTTTGGTTGCCTTTTGTATGGCTTTCCGGCTATCAGTCTATACCCCATCCTTGATTATCTGTGTTACTATTTGTCTATGTCCAAACACTTTCCGGCTATCAGTCTATACCCAAACATTTTCCGGCTGATTATCTGTGTCCATCCTTATTTTGGTTACTTGTCTTGTCTATGTCAAACTGATTATCTGTGTCCCTCCTGGTTTTTTGCCTATGGCTATCAGTCTATACCCAAACATTTCGGCTGATTATCTGTGTCCATCCTTATTTTGGTTACTTGTCTATGTCCAAACACTTTTCCGGCTATCAGTCTATACCCAAACATTTTCCGGTTGATTATCTGTGTCCATCCTTATTTTGCTGTTTGTGTATGTCCAAACACTTTCCGGCTATCAGTCTACCAAACATTTTCAGCTGATTATCTGTGTCCATCCTTATTTTGGTTACTTGTCTATGTCCAAAACACTTTCCAGCTATCAGTCTATACCAAACATTTTCCGGCTGATTATCTGTGTCCATCCTTATTTTGGTTACTTGTCTATGTCAAACACTTTCCGGCTATCAGTCTATACCCAAACATTTTCCGGCTGATTGTCTGTGTCCATCCTTATTTTTGCTGCTTTGTGTATGTCCAAACACTTTCCGGCTATCAGTCTATACCCAAACATTTCCGGCTGATTGCCTGTGTCCATCCTTATTTTTGGTTGCTTGTCTATGTCCAAACACTTTCCGTTTTTCAGTCTATGCCCAAACATTTTTCCGGTTGATTGTCTGTGTCCATCCTTATTTTGGTTGCTTGTCTATGTCCAAACACTTTTCCGGTTTTCAGTCTATACCCAAACATTTTCCGGCTGATTGTCTGTGTCCCATCCTTTTTTTTTTTATTTTGTTTGCTTTGTCTATGTCCAAACATCTTTCCGGCTATCAGTCTATACCCAAACTGATTATCTGTGTCCATCCGGCTGTATGTGCCTGTGTCCATCCTTGATTATCTGTGTCCATCCTTACTATTTGTCTATGTCAAACACTTTCCTGGCTATGATCTATACCCAAACATTTTCCGGCTGATTATCTGTGTCCATCCTTATTTTGGTTGCTTGTCTATGTCAAACACTTTCCGGCTATCAGTCTATCAAACATTTTCCGGCTGATTGTCTGTGTCCATCCTTATTTTGCTGTTTGCTTGTCTATGTCCAATTTTCCCTGGCTGACACTTATTTCCGGCTATCAGTCTATACCCAAACATTTTCCGGCTGATTGCCTGATTGTCCCATCCTTAGTTTTTTGTTTGCTCTATGTCCAAACATCTTCCGGTTTTCTATGTCCAAACATTTTCCGGCTGATTGCCTGTGTCCATCCCATTTTGCTACTTATCAGTCTATACCCAAACATTTTTCCGGCTGATTGTCTGTGTCCATCCTTATTTTTGGTTGTTTTCTATGTCCAAACCTTTCCGGCTATCAGTCTATATCCAAAACATTTTCCGGCTGATTGTCTGTGTCCATCCCTTATTTTTGTTACTTGTCTATGTCCAAACACTTTCCGGCTATCAGTCTATACCCAAACATTTTCGGCTGATCTGTGTCCATCCTTATTTTGGTTGCTTGTCTATGTCCTAAACACTTTCCGCCATCAGTCTATACCCAAACATTTTTTTGCTTGTCAGCTGATTGCACTTCAAACATTTTCTCCACTGTGTCCATCCTTATTTTGCTTGTCTATGTCCAAACACTCTCTGCTTTGCTCCACCAAACATTTTTCTATGTCCAACACTTTCCGGCTTTTCAGTCTATACCCAAACATTTTCCGGCTGATTGCCTGTGTCCATCCTATTTGGTTACTTGTCTATGTCCAAACCCTTTCGGCTATCAGTCTATACCCAAACATTTTCGGCTGATTGTCTGTGTCTCCATCCTTATTTTTTGTTGCTTGTCTATGTCAAACCCTTTCCGACTTTCAGTCTATCCAAACATTTTCCGGCTAATTGTCTGTGTCCATCCTTATTTTGGCTTTTTCGTTTGTCTATGTCCAAACACTCCTTTTCCGGCTATCAGTCCATACCCAAACATTTTCCGGCTGATTGTTTGTGTCCATCCTTATTTTGGTTGCTTGTCTATGTCAAACACTTTCCGGCTATCAGTCTATGCCCAAACATTTTCCGCCAATTGCCTGTGTCCATCCTTATTTTGGTTGCTTGTCTATGTCCAAACACTTTCCGGCTATACCCAAACATTTTTCCCTGATTGCTGATTGCCTGTGTCCATCCTTACTGATTTGGTCCATCCTTATTTTACATTTGTCTATGTCCAAACACTTTCCGGCTATCAGTCTATACCCAAACATTTTCCGGCTGATTGTCTGTGTCCATCTTATTTTGGTTGCCTTTGTATGTCCAGTTCCTTTTCCGGCTTTCAGTCTATACCCAAACATTTTCCGCTGATTGTCTGTGTCCATCCTTATTTTTGTTTACTTGTGTATGTCCAAACACTTTCCGGCTATCAGTCTATACCCAAACACTGTGTCTATCCTTATTTTGGCTGCTTTGTCCAAACACTTTCCGGCTTTCCTTATTTTCCGGCTAATTACTCAGTTATTGTCTATGTCCAAACACTTTCTGCCTATCAGTCTATACCCAAACATTTTCCGGCTGATTGTTTGTGTCCATCCTTATTTTTGGTTGCTTGTTGTCTATGTCCAAACACTTTTCCGGCTATCAGTGGCTGTACCCATCCTTATTTTCAGCTGATGTCTGTGTCCATCCTTAATTTACTTGTTTCAAACACTTTTTCAGTCTATACCCCCAAACATTTTCCGGCTGATTATCTGTGTCCATCCTTATTTTGGTTACTTGTCTATGTCAAACACTTTTATCAGTCTTATTTTGGTTATGCCAAACATTTACCCAAACATTTTCGGCTGATTATCTGTGTCCATCTTATTTTATTTTGGTTCCGGCTTTGTCTATGTCCAAACATTATCTTTCCGGCTATCAGTCTATACCCAAACATTTTCCGGCTGATTGTCTGTGTCCATCCTTATTTTGGTTGCTTGTCTATGTCCAAACACTTTCCTGTGTCCATCCTTATTTTGGTTGCTTGTCAGTCTATACCCAAACATCTTGTCCATCCTTGCTATGTCCAAACACTTTCCGGTTATCAGTCTATACCCCAAAGATTTTTCCGGCTGATTGTCTGTGTCCATCCTATTTTTGGTTACTTGTCTATGTCCAAAACACTTTCCGGCTATCAGTCTATACCCAAACATTTTCCGGCTGATTGTCTGTCCATCCTTATTTTGGTTGCTTGTCTATGTCCAAACACTTTCCGGCTATCAGTCTATACCCAAACATTTTCCGGCTGATTGTCTGTGTCCATCCTTATTTTGGTTGCTTGTCTATGTCCAAACACTTTCCGGCTATCAGTCTATACCCAAACATTTTTCATCCTTATTTTGGTTGCTTTCATGTCTATCAGTCTATCCAAACATTTTCCGTTTTTGATTATCTGTGTCCATCCTTATGGCTATCAGTCTATACCCAAACATTTTCGGCTGATTATCTGTGTCCATCCTTATTTTGGTTACTTGTCTATGTCCAAACACTTTCCGGCTATCAGTCTATACCCAAACATTTTCCGGCTGATTATCTGATCCTTATTTTGGTTCTGTGTCCATCCTTATTTTGGTCCATCCTTGTGTATGTCCAAACACTTTCCGGCTATCAGTCTAACCCAAACACATTTTGGTTGCTTTGTCTATGTCAAACACTTTCCTATCAGTCTATACCCAAACATTTTCCGGCTGATTGTCTGTGTCCATCCTATCAGTCTATACCCAAACATTTTCCGATTGTCTGTGCCCATCCTTATTTTGGTTGCTTGTCTATTGTTTTCAGTCTATACCCAAACATTTTTATTGCCTGTGTCCATCCTTTTTTGCTTGTCTATGTCCAAACACTTTCCGGCTTTCAGTCTATACCCAAACATTTTCCGGCTGATTGTCTGTGTCCATCCTATTTTGATTGTCTCACCATCCTTATTTTTTACTTGTCTATGTCCAAACACTTTCCGGCTATCAGTCTATACCCAAACATTTTCCGGCTGATTATCTGTGTCCATCCTTATTTTGGTTGCTTGTCTATGTCCAAACACTTTCCGGCTATCAGTCTATACCCAAACATTTTCCGGCTGATTGTCTGTGTCCATCCTTATTTTGGTTGCTTGTCTATGTCCAAACACTTTCGGCTATCAGTCTATACCCAAACATTTTCTGATTGTCTGTGGTCTATCACTTTCCGGCTTTCAGTCTATGCCAAACATTTTCCGGCTGATTGTCTGTGTCCATCCCCTTATTTTGAGTTTGCTTGTGTATGTCCAAAACCCTTTCCGGCTATCAGTCTATACCCCAAACATTTCCGACTGATTGACTGTATGCATCCTTATTTATTTTGGTTGCTTGTGTCTGTGTCCAAACACTTTCCGGCTTTCAGTCTATACCAAACATTTTCCGGCTAATTACCTGTGTCCATCCTTATTTTGGTTGCTTGTCTATGTCCAAACACTTTCCGGCTATCAGTCTATACCCAAACATTTTCCGGTCTATGCCAAACATTTTGGCTGATTATCTGTGTCCATCCTTATTTTGGTTGCTTGTCTATGTCAAACACTTTCCGGCTATCAGTCTATACCCAAACATTTTCCGGCTGATTATCTGTGTCCATCCCTGTCTATGTCCAAACACTTTCATCAGTCTATTATTTTTTGATTGCCTGTGTCCATCCTTATTTTGTTCTTGTCTATGTCCAAACACTTTCCGACTGCCTGTCTTTGTCCAGCAACATTCAGCTGTATGTAAATCTAAGAAATATTCGGCTGTCTGTCACTTTCTAACCAAACATTTTCCAGTTGTCAGTCTATGCCTGCAAACATTTTTCCATTGATTGTGTCCATCATATTTTTGGTTGTATCTGTGTCAAACCTTTCAGGGCTATCAGTCTATACCAAACATTTTCCGGCTGATTGTCTGTGTCCATCCTTATTTTGGTTGTCTATGTCCAAACACTTTCCGGCTATCAGTCTATACCCAAACATTTTCCGGCTAATTGCCTGTGTCCATCCTTATTTTGGTTGCTTGTCTATGTCCAAACACTTTCCGGCTATCAGTCTATACCCAAACATTTTCCGGCTGATTGTCTGTGTCCATCCTTATTTTGGTTACTTGTCTATGTCCAAACACTTTCCGGCTATCAGTCTATATCCAAACATTTTCCGGCTGATTGTCTGTGTCCATCCTTATTTTGGTTACTTGTCTATGTCAAACACTTTCCGGCTATCAGTCTATACCCAAACATTTTCCGGCTGATTGTCTGTGTCCATCCTTATTTTGGTTACTTGTCTATGTCCAAACACTTTCCGGCTATCAGTCTATACCCAAACATTTTCCGGCTGATTGTCTGTGTCCATCCTTATTTTGGTTTGTCTTATTTTTTTGTCCAAACACTTTCCGGCTATCAGTCTATACCCAAACATTTTCCGGCTGATTGTCTGTGTCCATCCCTTGTCTATGTCAAACACTTTCCGGCTATCAGTCTATACCCAAACATTTTCCGGCTGATTGTCTGTGTCCATCCTTATTTTGGTTGCTTGTCTATGTCAAACACTTTCCGGCTATCAGTCTATACCCAAACATTTTCCGGCTGATTGTCTGTGTCCATCCTTATTTTGGTTACTTGTCTATGTCCAAACACTTTCCGGCTATCAGTCTATACCCAAACATTTTCCTGTGTCCATCCTTATTGTCTATGTCCCCTTTCCGGCTCAGTCTTATTTTTGCTGATTGTCTGTGTCCATCCTATGTCCAAACTTTTTCCGGCTATCAGTCTATATTTTCCGGCTGATTGCCTGTGTCCATCCTTATTTTGGTTACTGTCCATGTCCAAACACTTTCCTGTGTCCATCCTTATCAGTCTATCACCCAAACATTTTCGGCTGTTTGCTGTGATTGTGTCAAACCTTTCCGGCTATCAGTCTATACCCAAACATTTTCCGGCTGATTGTCTGTGTCCATCCTTATTTTGGTTGTTTATGTGTCCAAACACTTTCTATGTCTATACCCAAACATTTTCCGGCTGATTGCCTGTGTCCATCCTTATTTATCAGTCTCATACTATCAGTCTATACCAAACATTTCTATACTCAAACATTTTCCGGCTGGCTGATTGTTCTCTATGTCCAAACACTTTCGGCTATCAGTCTATACCCAAACATTTTCCGGCTGATTTCTGTGTCCATCCTTATTTTGGTTGCCTATCTATGTCAAACACTTTGGCTATCAGTCTATCAAACATTTTCCGGCTGATTATCTTCCATCCTTATTTTGGTTACTTGTCTATGTCCAAACATCAGTCTATACCCAAACATTTTCCGGCTGATTGTCTGTGTCCATCCTTATTTTGGTTGCTTGTCTATGTCAAACACTTTCCGGCTATCAGTCTATACCCAAACATTTTCCGGCTGATTATCTGTGTCCATCCTTATTTTGTTGCTTGTCTATGTCCAAACACTTTTCCGGCTATCAGTCTATACCCAAACATTTTCCGGCTGATTGTCTGTGTCCATCCTTATTTTGGTTGCTTGTTGTCCAAACACTTTCCGGCTATCAGTCTATACCCAAACATTTTCCGGCTGATTGTCTGTGTCCATCCTTATTTTGGTTGCTTGTCTATGTCCAAACACTTTCGGCTATCAGTCTATACCCAAACATTTTCCGGCTGATTGTCTGTGTCCATCCTTATTTTGGTTGCTTGTCTATGTCCAAACACTTTTGTCTATGTCCAAACATTTTCCGGCTGATTGTCTGTGTCCATCCTTATTTTGGTTGCTTGTCTATGTCCAAACATTTTCCGGCTATCAGTCTATACCCAAACATTGTCTGTGTCCATCATTTTCAGCTGATTGCCTGTGTCCATCACTTATTTTGGTTGTCCAAACACTTTCCGGCTTTCAGTCTATCCAAACATTTTCCGGCTGATTGTCTCTTGTCTATGTCCAAACACTTTCCGGCTATCAGTCTATACCCAAACATTTTCCTGTGGCATTTTTGATTTTGATTGTCTGTCCAAACACTTTCCGGCCATCCTACCCAAACATTTTGCTGATTGTCTGTGTCCATCCTTATTTTGTTCTATGTCCAAACACTTTCTGGCTACCTTGTCTATGTCCAAACACTTTCCGGTCTATACCCAAACATTTTCTGATTGTCTGTGTCCATCCTTATTTTGATTTGCTTGTCTATGTCCAAAACATCAGTTTACCCAAACATTTTCCGGCTGATTGTCTGTGTCCATCCTTATTTTGGTTGTCTTGTTATGTCCAAACACTTTCCGTTTTCAGTCTATACCCAAACATTTTCCGGCTGATTGTCTGTGTCCAATTTTGGTTGCTTCTCTGTCCAAACACTTTCCCGGCTATCAGTCTATCCAAACATTTTCCGGCTGATTGTCTGTCCATCCTTATTTTGGTTACTTGTCTATGTCCAAACAGTCTATACCCAAACATTTTCCGGCTGATTGTCTGTGTCCATCCTTATTTTTTTGCTTGTCTATGTCCAAACACTTGCTTGTCTATGTCCAAACATTGTCTGTCCATCCCTTGTCTATGTCCAAACACTTTCCGGCTATCAGTCTATACCCAAACATTTTCCATCCGTTGCTGATTGTCTGTGTCCATCCTGATTTTGTTATCCTTTTTTGGTTTTGTCTATGTCAAACACTTTCCGGCTATCAGTCTATACCCAAACATTTTCCGGCTGATTGTCTGTGTCCATCCTTATTTTGGTTGCTTGTCTATGTCCAAACACTTTCCGGCTATCAGTCTATACCCAAACATTTTCCGGCTGATTGTCTGTGTCCATCCTTATTTTGGTTGCTTGTCTATGTCCAAACACTTTCCGGCTATCAGTCTATACCCAAACATTTTCCGGCTGATTGTCTGTGTCCATCCTTATTTTGGTTGCTTGTCTATGTCCAAACACTTTCCGGCTATCAGTCTATACCCAAACATTTTCTGATTGTTTGGTCCATCCTGATTTTGTGTTTGTCTATGTCCATCAGTCTATACCCAAACATTTTGGCTGATTGTCTTCCATCCTTATTTTGGTTGCTTGTCTATGTCCAAACACTTTCCGGCTATCAGTCTATACCCAAACATTTTCGGCTGATTGTCTGTGTCCATCCTTATTTTGGTTGCTTGTGTATGTCCAAACACTTTCCGGCTATCAGTCTATACCCAAACATTTTCCGGCTGATTGCCTGTGTCCATCCTTATTTTGGTTGCTTGTCTATGTCCAAACACTTTCCGGCTATCAGTCTATACCCAAACATTTTCCGGCTGATTGTCTGTGTCCATCCTTATTTTGGTTGCTTGTCTATGTCCAAACACTTTCCGGCTATCAGTCTATACCCAAACATTTTCCGGCTGATTTGTCCATCCTTATTTGATTTACTTGTCTATGTCCAAACATCCTTAGTTTTGGTTGATTGTCTGTGTCCATCCTTATTTTGGTTGCTTGTCTGTGTCCAAACACTCCGGCTATCAGTCTACCCAAACATTTTCGGCTGATTATCTGTGTCCCATCCTTATTTTGGTGATTGTCCAAACACTTTTCGTCTATCAGTCTATACCCAAACCAGCTGATTATCTGTGCCCAATTTTGGTTGCTTGTGTATGTCAAACCTTTCCGGCTATCAGTCTATACCCAAACATTTTCCATTTTGATTGCCTGTGTCCATCCATATTTGATTGTCTATGTCAAACACTTTTCCAACTATCAGTCTAACACCAAACATTTTTCCTGATTGCCTGTGTCCCATCCTTATTTTATTTGCTTGTCTGTCCAAACACTTTTCAGCTATCAGTCTATACCCAAACATTTTCCGGCTGATTGTCTGTGTCCATCCATATTTGGTTGCTTGTCCTTAACCAAACACTTTCCAGTCTTTACTTCTGTAACTTCCAAACACTTTCCGGCTATCAGTCTATGCCCAAACATTTTCCGGCTGATTGTCTTTCCATCCTTATTTTGGTTTGATTGTCTGTCAAACACTTTCCGGCTATCAGTCATCCCAAACATTTCCGGCTGATTGTCTATTTTTCTGTGTCCAAACACTTTCCGGCTATCAGTCCTATACCCAAACATTTTTGAGATTGCCTGTGTCCATCTATTTTTGTCTGTCCAAACACTTTCCGGCTATCAGTCTATACCCAAACATTTTCCGGCTGATTGTCTGTGTCCATCCTTATTTTGGTTGCTATTTTGGTTGTCTATGTCCAAACACTTTCCGGCTATCAGTCTATACCCAAACATTTTCCGGCTGATTGTCTGTGTCCATCCTTATTTTGGTTGCTTGTCTATGTCCAAACACTTTCCGGCTATAGTCTATACCCAAACATTTTCCGGCTGATTGTCTGTGTCCATCCTTATTTTGGTTACTTGTCTATGTCCAAACACTTTCCGGCTATCAGTCTATACCCAAAACTGATTTTCCCTATGTCCAAACACTTTCCGGCTATCAGATTGATTCTGTGTCCATCCTTATTTTGGTTACTTGTCTATGTCCAAACACTTTCCGGCTATCAGTCTATACCCAAACATTTTCCGGCTGATTGTCTGTGTCCATCCTTATTTTGGTTACTTGTCTATGTCCAAACACTTTCCGGCTATCAGTCTATACCCAAACATTTTTCCGGCTGATTATCTGTACATCCTTATTTTTGATTTACTTGTCTATGTCCAAACACTTTCCAATATCAGTCTATACCCAAACATTTTCCGGCTGATTATCTGTGTCCATCCTTATTTTGGTTGTCTGTGTCCAAACACTTTCCGGCTATCAGTCTATACCCAAACATTTTCCGGCTGATTGTCTGTGTGTCCATCCTTATTTTGGTTGCTTGTCTATGTCCAAACACTTTCCGGCTATCAGTCTATACCCAAACATTTTCCGGCTGATTGCCTGCAGTCCCATCCTTAGCTTTTGGTTACTTGTCTATGTCAAGCACTTTCCGGCTATCAGTCTATACCCCAAACATTTTTCGGCTGATTATCTGTGTCCATCCTTATTTTGGTTGCTTGTCTATGTCAAACACTTTTCCAGGCTATCAGTCTATGCAAACATTTTTCCGGCTGATTGTCTGTGTCCATCCTTATTTTGGTTACTTGTCTATGTCCAAACACTTTCCGGCTGTCAGTCTATACCCAAACATTTCCCGGCTGATTGCCTGTGTCCATCCTTATTTTTGGTTACTTGTCTATGTCAAACACTTTCCGGCTGTCAGTCTATACCCAAACATTTTTCCGGCTGATTGTCTGTGTCCATCTTATTTTGGTTGTATCTGTGTCCAAACACTTTCAGCTATCAGTCTATACCCAAAACATTTCCAGCTGATTGTCTGTGTCCATCCTTATTTTGTTATTTTGTCAAACACTTTGCTATCAGTCTATGTCAAGCAAGCTGATTGTCTGTGTCCATCTTTTGGTTGCTTTCTATGTCAAACTTTTTTCAGTCTATACCCAAACATTTTCGGCTGATTGTCTGTGTCCATCCTTATTTGGTTTGCTTCTGTGTCCAAACACTTTCCGGCTTTCAGTCTATACCCAAACATTTTTCCGGCTGATTGCCTGTGTCCATCCTTATTTTGGTTTAACATCTATGTCCAAACACTTTCCGGCTATCAGTCTATACCCAAACATTTCCGGCTGATTGTCTGTGTCCATCCTTATTTTGGTTGTTCATGTCCAAACCCTTTACGACTTTTCAGTCAGTCCAAACATTTTCCGCTGATTATCTGTGTCCATCTTATTTTGTTACTTGTCTATGTGTCCATCCTTATTTCCGTTGCTTGATTTTGCTATCAGTCCATTTTGCTGATTGCTTGGTCATCATATTTTATTTGCCCATGTCCAAACACTTTCTGCTATCAGTCTATACCCAAACATTTTTTCCGGCTGATTGTCTGTGTCCATCCTTATTTTGGTTGTTTGTCTATGTCCAAACACTTTTCCGGCTATCAGTCTATACCCAAACATTTTTCGGCTGATTGTCTGTGTCCATCCTTATTTTGGTTGCTTGTCTATGTCCAAACACTTTCCGGCTATCAGTCTATACCCAAACATTTTCCGGCTGATTGTCTGTGTCCATCCTTATTTTGGTTCTTGTCTATGTCAAACACTTTCCGGCTATCAGTCTATACCCAAACATTTTCCGGCTGATTGTCTGTGTCCATCCTTATTTTGGTTGCTTGTCTATGTCCAAACACTTTCCGGCTATCAGTCTATACCCAAACATTTTCCGGCTGATTGTCTGTGTCCATCCTTATTTTGTTGTTATGTCAAACCCTTTGTCTGTATTTTGGTCCATCCTTATTTTGGTTGTCCAAACACTTTCCGGCTATCAGTCTATACCCAAACATTTTCCGGCTGATTGTCTGTGTCCATCCTTATTTTTTTTGCTTGTCTATGTCCAAACACTTTCCGGCTATCAGTCTATACCCAAACATTTTCCGGCTGATTATCTGTGTCCATCCTTATTTTGGTTACTTGTCTATGTCCAAACACTTTCCGGCTATCAGTCTATACCCAAACATTTTCCGGACTGATTGTCTGTGTCCATCCTTATTTTGATTTTACTTGTCTATGTCCAAACACTTTTCCGGCTATCAGTCTATACCCAAACATTTTCCGGCTGATTGTCTGTCCATCCTTATTTTGCTGTTTGTCTATGTCCAAACACTTTCCGGCTATCAGTCTATACCCAAACATTTTCCGGCACTGTGTCCATCCTTATTTTGGTTGCTTGTCTATGTCCAAACACTTTCGGCTATCAGTCTATACCCAAACATTTTCCTGATTGCTGTGTCCATCCTTATTTTGTTCTTGTCTATGTCAAACATCCTTATCAGTCTATACCCAAACATTTTTTGCCTGTGTCCATCCTTATTTTGGTTGTATCTGTCCAAACACTTTCCGGCTATCAGTCTATACCCAAACATTTTCCGGCTGATTGTCTGTGTCCATCCTTATTTTGGTTGCTTGTCTATGTCCAAACACTTTCCGGCTATCAGTCTATACCCAAACATTTTCCGGCTGATTATCTGTGTCCATCCTTATTTTGGTTGCTTGTCTATGTCCAAAACTTTTCCGGCTATCAGTCTATACCCAAACATTTTCCGGCTGATTGTCTGTGTCCATCCTTATTTTGGTTGCTTGTCTATGTCCAAACACTTTCCGGCTATCAGTCTATACCCAAACATTTTCCGGCTGATTGTCTGTGTCCATCCTTATTTTGGTTGCTTGTCTATGTCCAAACACTTTCCGGCTATCAGTCTATACCCAAACATTTTCCGGCTGATTGTCCATCTTATTTGTGTCCATCAGTCTATATTTTCCGGCTGATTATCTGTTCCATCCTTATGTCTATGTCAAACACTTTCCGGCTATCAGTCTATACCCAAACATTTTCCGGCTGATTGTCTGTGTCCATCCTTATTTTGGTTGCTTGTCTATGTCAAACACTTTCCGGCTATCAGTCTATACCCAAACATTTTCCGGCTGATTGTCTGTGTCCATCCTTATTTTGGTTGCTTGTCTATGTCAAACACTTTCGGGCTATCAGTCTATACCCAAACATTTTCCGGCTGATTGTCTGTGTCCATCCTTATTTTGGTTGCTTGTCTATGTCCAAACACTTTCCGGCTATCAGTCTATACCCAAACATTTCCGGCTGAAATCCATTTTGGTTACTTTTGTCCGGCTATCAGATTGTCTGATTGTCTGTGTCCATCCTTATTTTGGTTGCTTGTCTATGTCCAAACACTTTCCGGCTATCAGTCTATACCCAAACATTTTCCGGCTGATTGTCTGTGTCCATCCTTATTTTGGTTGTTTGTATGTCCAAACACTTTCCGGCTATCAGTCTATACCCAAACATTTTCCGGCTGATTGTCTGTGTCCATCCTTATTTTGGTTGCTTGTCTATGTCCAAACACTTTCCGGCTATCAGTCTATACCCAAACATTTTCCGGCTGATTGTCTGTGTCCATCCTTATTTTGGTTGCTTGTCTATGTCCAAACACTTTCCGGCTATCAGTCTATACCCAAACATTTTCCGGCTGATTGTCTGTGTCCATCCTTATTTTGGTTACTTGTCTATGTCCAAACACTTTTCCGGCTATCAGTCTATACCCAAACATTTTCCGGCTGATTGTCTGTGTCCATCCTTATTTTGGTTGCTTGTCTATGTCCAAACACTTTCCGGCTATCAGTCTATACCCAAACATTTTCCGGCTGATTGTCTGTGTCCATCCTTATTTTGGTTGCTTGTCTATGTCCAAACACTTTCCGGCTATCAGTCTATACCCAAACATTTTCCGGCTGATTGCCTGTGTCCATCCTTATTTTGGTTACTTGTCTATGTCAAACCACTTTCCGGCCATCAGTCTATACCCAAACATTTTATTTTGTGTCCATCCTTATTTATTTTGCTTGTCTATGTCCAAACACTTTCCGGTTATTTTCAGTCTATACCCAAACATTTTCCGGCTGATTGCCTGTGTCCATCCTTATTTTGGTTGCTTGTCTATGTCCAAACACTTTCCGGCTATCAGTCTATACCCAAACATTTTCCGATTATCTGTGTCCATTATTTTGGTTCTTGTCTATGTCCATCAGTCTATACCCAAACATTTTTTTGGTTGATTTGTCTATGTCTATGTCCAAACACTTTCCGGCTATCAGTCTATACCCAAACATTTTCCGGCTGATTGTCTGTGTCCATCCTTATTTTGGTTTGTCTATGTCCAAACACTTTCCGGCTATCAGTCTATACCCAAACATTTTCCGGCTGATTGTCTGTGTCCATCCTTATTTTGGTTACTTGTCTATGTCCAAACACTTTCCGGCTATCAGTCTATACCCAAACATTTTCCGGCTGATTGTCTGTGTCCATCCTTATTTTGGTTGCTTGTCTATGTCCAAACACTTTCCGGCTATCAGTCTATACCCAAACATTTTTCGGCTGATTGTCTGTGTCCATCCTTATTTTGGTTACTTGTCTATGTCCAAACACTTTCCGGCTATCAGTCTATACCCAAACATTTTCCGGCTGATTATCTGTGTCCATCCTTATTTTGGTTACTTGTCTATGTCCAAACACTTTCCGGCTATCAGTCTATACCCAAACATTTTCCGGCTGATTGTTCTGTGTCCATCCTTATTTTGCTACTTGTCTATGTCCAAACACTTTCCGGCTATCAGTCTATACCCAAACATTTTCCGGCTGATTATCTGTGTCCATCCTTATTTTGGTTGCTTGTCTATGTCCAAACACTTTCCGGCTATCAGTCTATACCCAAACATTTTCCGGCTGATTATCTGTGTCCATCCTTATTTTGGTTACTTGTCTATGTCCAAACACTTTCCGGCTATCAGTCTATACCCAAACATTTTCCGGCTGATTGTCTGTGTCCATCCTTATTTTGGTTACTTGTCTATGTCCAAACACTTTCCGGCTATCAGTCTATACCCAAACATTTTCCGGCTGATTGTCTGTGTCCATCCTTATTTTGGTTGCTTGTCTATGTCCAAACACTTTCCGGCTATCAGTCTATACCCAAACATTTTCCGGCTGATTGCCTGTGTCCATCCTTATTTTGGTTACTTGTCTATGTCCAAACACTTTCCGGCTATCAGTCTATACCCAAACATTTTCCGGCTGATTGTCAAATCCTTATTTTTTTCTTGTCTATGGCTATGATTATCATTTTGCTGTCCATCCTATTTTGGTTACTTGTGTATGTCCAAACACTTCATGGCTATCAGTCTATACCCAAACATTTTCCGGCTGATTGTCTGTGTCCATCCTTATTTTACTTGTCTATGTCCAAACACTTTCCGGCTATCAGTCTATACCCAAACATTTTCCTGATTGCTGTGATTATCTGTGTCCATCCTTATTTTGCTGATTGTCTGTGTCCATCCCCTTATTTTTGTCTATGTCCAAACACTTTCCGGCTATCAGTCTATACCCAAACATTTTCCGGCTGATTGTCTGTGTCCATCCTTATTTTGGTTACTTGTCTATGTCCAAACACTTTCTGGCTATCAGTCTATACCCAAACATTTTCCCTGATTATCTGTGTCCATCCTGATTTTGCCTGTGTCAAACATTTTTTCCAGTTATTTTGCTATGATTATCTGTGATTGTCTGTGTCCATCCTTATTTTGGTTACTTGTCTATGTCCAAACACTTTCCGGCTATCAGTCTATACCCAAACATTTTCCGGCTGATTGTCTGTGTCCATCCTTATTTTGGTTGCTTGTCTATGTCCAAACACTTTCCGGCTATCAGTCTATACCCAAACATTTTCCGGCTGATTGTCTGTGTCCATCCTTATTTTGGTTGCTTGTGTATGTCCAAACCCTTTCCGGCTATCAGTCTATACCCAAACATTTTCCGGCTGATTGTCTGTGTCCATCCTTATTTTGGTTGCTTGTCTATGTCCAAACACTTTCCGGCTATCAGTCTATACCCAAACATTTTCCGGCTGATTGTCTGTGTCCATCCTTATTTTGGTTGCTTGTCTATGTCCAAACACTTTCCGGCTATCAGTCTATACCCAAACATTTTTCCGGCTGATTGCCTGTGTCCATCCTTATTTTGGTTACTTGTCTATGTCCAAACACTTTCCGGCTATCAGTCTATACCCAAACATTTTCCGGCTGATTGTCTGTGTCCATCCTTATTTTTGGTTGCTTTGTCTATGTCCAAACACTTTCCGGCTATCAGTCTATACCCAAACATTTTCCGGCTGATTGTCTGTGTCCATCCTTATTTTGGTTGCTTGTCTATGTCAAACACTTTCCGGCTATCAGTCTATACCCAAACATTTTCCGGCTGATTGTCTGTGTCCATCCTTATTTTGGTTACTTGTCTATGTCCAAACACTTTCCGGCTATCAGTCTATACCCAAACATTTTCCGGCTGATTGTCTGTGTCCATCCTTATTTTGGTTTGCTTGTCTATGTCCAAACACTTTCCGGCTATCAGTCTATACCCAAACATTTTCCGGCTGATTATCTGTGTCCATCCTTATTTTGGTTGCTTGTCTATGTCCAAACACTTTCCGGCTATCAGTCTATACCCAAACATTTTTCCGGCTGATTGTCTGTGTCCATCCTTATTTTGGTTACTTGTCTATGTCCAAACACTTTCCGGCTATCAGTCTATACCCAAACATTTTCCGGCTGATTATCTGTGTCCATCCCATCCTTTTTTTCTATACCCAAACTTGTCTATGTCCAAACTTATTCCGGTTATCAGTCTATGTCCAAACATTTTCCGGCTGATTGTCTGTGTCCATCCTTATTCTATGTCCAAACCTTTCCGGCTATCAGTCTATACCCAAACATTTTCCGGCTGATTGTCTGTGTCCATCCTTATTTTGGTTGCTTGTCTATGTCCAAACACTTTCCGGCTATCAGTCTATACCCAAACATTTTCCGGCTGATTGTCTGTGTCCATCCTTATTTTGGTTGCTTGTCTATGTCCAAACACTTTCCGTTTTTCAGTCTATACCCAAACATTTTCCGGCTGATTGTCTGTGTCCATCCTTATTTTGGTTGCTTGTCTATGTCCAAACACTTTCCGGTTTTCAGTCTATACCCAAACATTTTCCGGCTGATTGCCTGTGTCCATCCTTATTTTGGTTACTTGTCTATGTCCAAACACTTTCCGGCTATCAGTCTATACCCAAACATTTTCCGGCTGATTATCTGTGTCCATCCTTATTTTGGTTGCTTGTGTATGTCCAAACACTTTCCGGCTATCAGTCTATACCCAAACATTTTCCGGCTGATTATCTGTGTCCATCCTTATTTTGGTCCTTGTCTATGTCCAAACACTTTCCGGCTATCAGTCTATACCCAAACATTTTCCGGCTGATTGTCTGTGTCCATCCTTATTTTGGTTGCTTGTCTATGTCCAAACACATTCCGGCTATCAGTCTATACCCAAACATTTTCCGGCTGATTGTGTCCATCCTTATTTTGGTTGCTTGTCTATGTTCAAACACTTTCCGGCTATCAGTCTATACCCAAACATTTTCCGGCTGATTGTCTGTGTCCATCCTTATTTTGGTTACTTGTCTATGTCCAAACACTTTCCGGTTATCAGTCTATACCCAAACATTTTCCGGCTGATTGTCTGTGTCCATCCTTATTTTGGTTGCTTGTCTATGTCCAAACACTTTCTATCAGTCTATACCCAAACATTTTCCGGCTGATTGTCTGGTCCATCCTTATTTTGGTTACTTGTCTATGTCCAAACACTTTCCGGCTATCAGTCTAACAAACATTTTCCGGCTGATTGTCTGTGTCCATCCTTATTTTGGTTGCTTGTCTATGTCCAAACCTTTCCGGCTTTCAGTCTATACCCAAACTGATTGTTTTCCGGCTTGTCTATGATTGTCATTTTGTGATTCCATCCTTATTTTGTCTATGTCCAAACACTTTGCTATCAGTCTATACCCAAACATTTTCCGGCTGATTGTCTGTGTCCATCCTTATTTTGGTTGCTTGTCTTGTCCAAACACTTTCCGGCTATCAGTCTATACCCAAAACATTTTCCGGCTGATTATCTGTGTCCATCCTTATTTTGGTTACTTGTCTATGTCCAAACACTTTCCGGCTATCAGTCTATACCCAAACATTTTTCCGGCTGATTGTCTGTGTCCATCCTTATTTTGGTTGCTTGTCTATGTCCAAACACTTTCCGGCTATCAGTCTATACCCAAACATTTTTCCTGATTGCTGTGTCCATCCTTATTTTGTTCTTGTGTCAAACACTTTCCGGCTATCAGTTACCCAAACATTTTGCTGATTGCCTGTGTCTTATTTTGGTTACTTGTCTATGTCCAAACACTTTCCGGCTATCAGTCTATACCCAAACATTTTCCGGCTGATTATCTGTGTCCATCCTTATTTTGGTTGCTTGTCTATGTCCAAACAAACATTTTCCGGCTATCAGTCTATTTTGGTTACTTGTCCAAACATTTTCCGGCTGATTGTCTGTGTCCATCCTTATTTTGGTTACTTGTCTATGTCCAAACACTTTCCGGCTATCAGTCTATACCCAAACATTTTCCGGCTGATTGTCTGTGTCCATCCTTATTTTGGTTGCTTGTCTATGTCCAAACACTTTCCGGCTATGTCTATACCCAAACATTTTCCGGCTGATTGTCTGTGTCCATCCTTATTTTGGTTACTTGTCTATGTCCAAACACTTTCCGGCTATCAGTCTATACCCAAACATTTTCCGGCTGATTGTCTGTGTCCATCCTTATTTTGGTTGCTTGTCTATGTCCAAACACTTTCCGGCTATCAGTCTATACCCAAACATTTTCCGGCTGATTGTCTGTGTCCATCCTTATTTTGGTTACTTGTCTATGTCCAAACACTTTTCCGGCTATCAGTCTATACCCAAACATTTTCCGGCTGATTATCTGTGTCCATCCTTATTTTGGTTACTTGTCTATGTCCAAACACTTTCCGGCTATCAGTCTATACCCAAACATTTTCCGGCTGATTGTCTGTGTCCATCCTTATTTTGGTTGCTTGTCTATGTCCAAACACTTTCCGGCTATCAGTCTATACCCAAACATTTTCCGGCTGATTGTCTGTGTCCATCCTTATTTTGGTTGCTTGTCTTGTCAAACACTTTGTATGTCCAAACTGATTGTCTTTCCGGCTATCAGTCTATATACCCAAACATTTTCCGGCTGATTGTCTGTGTCCATCCTTATTTTGGTTACTTGTCTATGTCCAAACACTTTCCGGCTATCAGTCTATACCCAAACATTTTCCGGCTGATTGTCTGTGTCCATCCTTATTTTGGTTGCTTGTCTATGTCCAAACACTTTCCGGCTATCAGTCTATACCCAAACATTTTCCGGCTGATTATCTGTGTCCATCCTTATTTTTTCCTTTCCGGCTATCAGTCTATACCCAAACATTTTCCGGCTGATTGTCTTTCCATCCTTATTTTGGTTGCTTGTTGTCAAACCCTTTCCGGTCTATACCCAAACATTTTCGGCTGATTGTCTGTGTCCATCCTTATTTTGGTTGCTTGTCTATGTCCAAACACTTTCCGGCTATCAGTCTATACCCAAACATTTTTTGATTGTCTGTGTCCATCCTTATTTTGGTTGCTTGTCTATGTCCAAACACTTTCCGGCTTTCAGTCTATACCCAAACATTTTCCGGCTGATTATCTGTGTCCATCCTTATTTTGGTTGCTTGTCTATGTCCAAACACTTTCCGGCTATCAGTCTATACCCAAACATTTTCCGGCTGATTATCTGTGTCCATCCTTATTTTGGTTACTTGTCTATGTCCAAACACTTTCCGGCTATCAGTCTATACCCAAACATTTTCCGGCTGATTATCTGTGTCCATCCTTATTTTGGTTGCTTGTGTATGTCCAAACACTTTCCGGCTATCAGTCTATACCCAAACATTTTCCGGCTGATTGTCTGTGTCCATCCTTATTTTGGTTGCTTGTCTATGTCCAAACACTTTCCGGCTGATTGTCTGTGTCCATCTTAGTCTATATCCCAAACATTTTCCGGCTGATTGTCTGTGTCCATCCTTATTTTGGTTGCTTGTCTATGTCCAAACACTTTCCGGCTTTCAGTCTATACCCAAACATTTTCCGGCTGATTGTCTGTGTCCATCCTTATTTTGGTTGCTTGTCTATGTCAAACACTTTCCGTTTATCAGTCTATCCAAACATTTTCCGGCTGATTGCCTGTGTCCATCCTTATTTTGGTTACTTGTCTATGTCCAAACACTTTCCGGCTATCAGTCTATACCCAAACATTTTCCGGCTGATTATCTGTGTCCATCCTTATTTTGGTTGTCTATGTCCAAACATTTTTTCCGGCTATCAGTCTATACCCAAACATTTTCCGGCTGATTATCTGTGTCCATCCTTATTTTGGTTGCTTGTCTATGTCCAAACACTTTCCGGCTATCAGTCTATACCCAAACATTTTCCGGCTGATTATTGTGTCCATCCTTATTTTGGTTGCTTGATATGTCCAAACACTTTCCGGCTATCAGTCTATACCCAAACATTTTCCGGCTGATTGTCTGTGTCCATCCTTATTTTGATTTGCTTGTCTATGTCCAAACACTTTCCGGCTATCAGTCTATACCCAAACATTTTCCCTTGTCTATGTCAAACACTTTCTTTCAGTCTATACCCAAACATTTTCCGGCTGATTGTCTGTGTCCATCCTTATTTTGGTTACTTGTCTATGTCCAATCATTTCAGTCTATACCCAAACATTTTCCGGCTGATTGTCTGTGTCCATCCTTATTTTGGTTGCTTGTCTATGTCCAAACACTTTCCGTTTTTCAGTCTATACCCAAACATTTTCCGGCTGATTGTCTGTGTCCATCCTTATTTTGGTTACTTGTCTATGTCCAAACACTTTCCGGCTGTCAGTCTATACCCAAACATTTTCCGGCTGATTGTCTGTGTCCATCCTTATTTTGGTTGCTTTTCTATGTCCAAACCCTTTCCGGCTTTCAGTCTATATCCAAACATTTTCCGGCTGATTGTCTGTGTCCATCCTTATTTTGGTTGCTTGTCTATGTCCAAACACATTCCGGCTATCAGTCTATACCCAAACATTTTCCGGCTGATTGTGTCCATCCTTATTTTGGTTGCTTGTCTATTGTCTATACCCAAACATTTTTCCGGCTGATTGTCTGTGTCCATCCTGCTTGTCCATCCTATACCCAAACATTTTTTCCATCCTTATTTGGTTGCTTGTCTATGTCCAAACACTTTCCGGCTATCAGTCTATACCCAAACATTTTCCGGCTGATTGTCTGTGTCCATCCTTATTTTGGTTGTAGGTCCATCCTTATTTTGTCTATGTCCAAACACTTTCCGGCTATCAGTCTATACCCAAACATTTTCCGACTGATTGACTGGGTCCATCCTTATTTTGGTTGCTTGTCTATGTCCAAACACTTTCCGGCTATCAGTCTATACCCAAACATTTTCCGGCTGATTGTCTGTGTCCATCCTTATTTTGGTTGCTTGTCTATGTCCAAACCCTTTCCGGCTATCAGTCTATACCCAAACATTTTCCGACTGATTGCCTGTGTCCATCCTTCCATCCTTTTGCTTTCAGTCTATACCCAAACATTTTGTAATTGCCTGTGTCCATCCTTATTTTGGTTGCTTGTCTATGTCCAAACACTTTCCGGCTATCAGTCTATACCCAAACATTTTCCGGCTGATTGTCTGTGTCCATCCTTATTTTGGTTGCTTGTCTATGTCCAAACACTTTCCGGCTATCAGTCTATACCCAAACATTTTCCGGCTAATTGCCTGTGTCCATCCTTATTTTGGTTGCTTGTCTATGTCCAAACACTTTCCGGCTATCAGTCTATCAGTCTATATCCCAAACATTTTCTATCGTCTATACACAAACATTTTGATTGTCTGTGTCCATCCTTATTTTGGTTACTTGTCTATGTCCAAACACTTTCCGGCTTTCAGTCTATACCCAAACATTTTCCGGCTGATTGTCTGTGTCCATCCTTATTTTTGGTTGCTTGTATGTCCAAACCCTTTCCGGCTTTCAGTCTATACCCCAAACATTTTCCGGCTGATTTCTGTGTCCATCCTTATTTTTGGTTGCTTGTCTATGTCCAAACCCTTTCCGGCTATCAGTCTATACCCAAACATTTTCCGGCTGATTACCTGTGTCCATCCTTATTTTGGTTGCTTGTCTATGTCCAAAACACTTTCCGGCTATCAGTCTATACCCAAACATTTTCCGGCTGATTACCTGATTTTGTTTTGTCTATGTCCAAACACTTTCCCATCCTTACCAAACATTTTCCTGATTTTTGATTTTGTTTTGT